TTCTCCAGTCGGAGGCAAGTCAAAAAATGAAATTTTGCAGTTTACGTAATGGCGCTGGTTCAGACGTTTTCCTGGCACATAAAAAATCAAAATAATGAAAAAGCCTGGAAAACGTCAGATACTTCAGACTAAATGACAAGTCAAACTCAAGATTTCCAAAACTGTTTTATTTGTTATAGCGAGCGCAGCGAGCGTCGCGAAGCGACGCTCGCGAAGAGGCTCAATAGACTAACGTGTAAGAACAGAGGAAATTCGGATTGAAATCTGTACATAGGCCTACGTCAGCCAAATTTCTCTGTGCAACATTCCCAGAATTCCTGCACTACCCAATGTCCTTTGCGCGAATATTGCCGAATAAATAAATAAATAATAACGTAAAGCATATATCAGACTTTCAGTTTGTAGAAATCTTTCAAAGAAACAAGAAATAACTCGGCAATGTTTTTCGACAAAAATCCCCCTGAATGCACTAGTTCTATAGTTTCAAACAGACGCTCGGCTGTCACACATATATCTCCGACGAGCTTTGTGACGTCGTATGACGTCACAGCTAGTCGAGATATCTCGTGCGGCTTGACGTTCGAAGTGGCTGATCTCAAGTGTTTTTGATGGTACAACTGCGCTCGCCCCAACGGTCACACCGTAAAACATATTATTTTTTCCAAGATATTTTGAAAAAAAACAAGGGGGAGGGGGAACCCTTTGCTTGATATGATCAACCCTTTGCTTGATATGATTGAGCTTCCCATGTACTGACAACTGAATAACGCTTTTCAACAACAGCATCAAATCTATGAAACTTTTAACAGGTTTAGCTCTTGGGTAGGCTTATAAAGTATAATCGTTTTTGAATGATTTTGCACGTGTGTCTACATCAAACGAAAACATAAAGTCGATTGTTATCCAGCTATTACAGGACAATGATTCATCCCTCACTACAATATAAAAGCTGGTTTTCCAGTAAAATTATAATAACTTAAGACCATTTCTCCGCTTTATAAAGAAATCTAAACCAAAACAAAGTGATATTTGACGTCATCCATACCAGCTGCAAAATGAAGAGGCGATGACTTTCTTCCAGCAGTATCCTTGGCGTTGACGTTATGATGATTCACTAGTTTCTTTACTTTGTTTAGATCTCCATTTCTACAAGCTTCGAACAGATCCCTGCCAGGGTCATTGCTATGAGAAGGAGACGACGACTCGTTTTGAAGCAACGATCGTCTAGTCGCCATTTTCATTCATCTCCTCACGCAAGATATCGGTCAAAAACGAGATTTGAATTTTAAAAACAAGCGTCCGTATGACGTCGATTTTTGAGATAAGGGGTCATATGAAAACCGATTTTTACATGGGGAGAGTGTGTACAGTGTACACTAGTGTAACAGCTGCGTAAGTTGCAAGGTATTCATGTAACAATCAGTAATCATTCTAATCAATTCATCTTAAGCACTATGCATATTATTTAATTGAAAATGCTTGAGTTTAACTTGCATGACAGTCAATAAAAAATTAATGAAGTTTTGTATAGTGGTCATGGTGGTTTGTAGGTCCAATGATACTCGTACACCCAACCCCAATGTTCATCTTCTTGATTTTCATTAAGCCATAAGGCCATGTCAGAATTTTCAATGATAATAGTTCAATTATTTTGCAATTTCTCATGATTCACAATGTAGTCCACAGGACTGACAGGTCAGAAATTAGAAGTTTCTGTAAACATGTAGTTACTTGAACATGTTGAATGCTTGCATTTTAAATGCGTTTCACATTCCTTTTACATTTCTGGGAATTACTTGAAAACACACAAATGCATATTTAACAAGAGAGGAGAGAGATGAAGCAAACCAGATCAGGATTCGACCCCACCCCCCTGAATCTCCAGTCAGGTGCTCTACCAACTGAGCTATCTGGCCACCAGTGTTTGAACCTGTGTGACCCCCACATTCCTCCCTCCTTCTAGGTCTTCAGCCCCCGATAACACCAACCTTGATTAAAGCTCACCCCTGGCGCCGCAGGCATCTATATAACCTGTCACTTCCAGGGCATGGCATGGCACCATATGTAAGAGGAATAGAAAAATGCAGCGAAAAAGACCAGGATTCAAACCCAGGTCCCCCTGAATCTCCAGTCAGATGCTCTATCATCTGAGCTATCTAGGCACCAACAGTTCAAGCCCATCTGGCCACCAAGTTTCTTTTGAAATATTTACATGAAAATTTACCTTGCTACAAGCAATACAACAAATGTATTCATTAACACAATTAAAGGAGAAAGATATCTCAAATCAGTTTTGCGACTCATAGGCCTTTTTTTCAGGAATAAGATAAAAAATTTATCAGAAAAATGGTTCTACGATGGGGAATTTGTGGAGCTGGTCTCATCAGTAGTGATTTCGTGTCAGCACTTCTGGCTCCTCCAAGTGATGTCCATCAGGTTAAGCAATTACATCTTGACAAAAATAAATGCACAAGAAGTGCAGCATCTTTGCTAGCCAAGGGTCTCTTATCCAAAATCTGCTTGAAAAGACTAGAATTTGGATTGGAAACCTTGTCTAGCCAAGGTGCCTGTGCAGATCAATGCATTCGTAATTGAAATGGTAATGGGATTAAAATTCATTATGCGTACCTTCTTTTATTTTAATTCTTACATCAAAATTACTACAGAAAAAATATTATTATAAAAGAAAAACAGAATAAAAACAAGCAAACAAAAAGAGCAATTGAAAGTAAGATTTAAATAAGATTGGAATTATAGGAATAATTTAATTAATGATCATATGGCATCGTTTTAGAATTGCATGCATCAATAACAAAGCCCTGTTTCAGATTGTGTCTTTGATTCTAGGTTGTTTGTATAGGAGCTAGTTCTAAACAGAAAGCCCAGAGTTTTGCAGACAAGTTCGGAATTAAGACAGCCTATGGATCATATGAGGAGGTAGCCAAAGATCCTAATGTTGGTAGGTATGAATGACAGTTAACAAGTAAGCCTCACTAAAAGTCTAAAAACTAAATTTACATGTGGTTTGAAATTGAAATGTTCAAAGTGATTGGGAAATGTGATAGATAAACTGTTGAAATATGGAGACAAGGAACAGTAATAAAGCTGTAAATAAGTCCAAATATAAATTGGGACAAGGGAGCAGAGAAAACACAGGTAAATTATCAAACCAGAGGTGGGATCAGGTGCCAAGGAGAGGTAAGCATCCCCTGAAGACCAGTCACTTCTACCATGTGTTCCTTGTCATCATAAATGATCAATATGATCAAGCAAATATGATGTATATTAAGTGTTAATACTCTATATATTATTATATGTTATATTTATGTATATTTAAAATAAGTTAAATTATTATTTGGTTTGTATTTATGTAAAAGCTAAAGTAAAATTTAAGAAAAATGATCCAATAATGTGTCCAATGTATATTTTTTTAAAAAGTATGGAAGGTTAATTATGTTTTATGATATATACCTGTAAATTTATTTAGATGTTGTGTATATTGGTGTGATACACATTCACCATGTGGCAATGTCCAAACAGATGCTGAAAGCAGGCAAGAATGTTCTCTGTGAGAAACCAATGGGTGCTAGTCTGGCTCAGGTTCTGGAGGTCCAGCAAGTGGCTAAAGAGTGCAAAAAGCTCTTCATGGAGGTATAATTTTACTAGTTGCAAGAAATCTGAACAATTGTCAGCTTTTCACCTCCTGTAAGAAAGACAACAGTTACTCTTAAATTTTTATGCCCTCTTGGAAGAAGGGAGAGCATATTTAGGCCAGATTATGTTTGGGGTACAATCAGTCAATTTTTGACAGAGTTATGCCCCTTTGACATAGACAAATTCCAATTATTTGCAGTGTCTGTTAATTTTTTTTTTTTGGCATTTATTTCCAAGGGAGGGGGTGGGGGCATAAATGTTTCACAAACATCTTTTTTTTTGACAATGGTTTGTCTCCCTTTTCGGAAAAAACCCTTTTGAGAGTGTGCTGCCAACTTTTATTCACAAGTAATTAATATCAGCAAGTTTAATTACCTTTCACTACCTTTAAAGGTATTGCATCAACAACACAAGAATATCAAGATATAAAGCAATTACATGAGTTTTCTTGCAGGCAATTTGGAGTAGATGTAATCCAATATATCGTAAAATCAAAGAGGAGGTAAGAGCAGGAAATTTAGGAGAAATCAAGCACGTCCAAGCTCATTTCTTTGTGCCTATAGACAAAGTAGATCGCATTGCCAAGCCTGAGCTAGGGGGAGGAGCTGTACATGACATCGGGTTGTACACCATACAACTGGCCACCATGATCTTTAACAATGAAAAGCCAGTTAAAATTACAGCTGATGCCACATTGTCAAATCAAGGTTTGTTTATTGGTCATTTATAATGGGCTTTTACAAAATTGAGTAAAAAAGAGGGAACATTTTATAATAAATCCATGCTTAGGGGCAGAGAGTTTTTCATTCCCAGTAGTTTAAAATGTATTACATGTATGAGCTTAACAGATATAATATATTACATTTATAAGGAATCAGAAGTGTGTATCCCTGGCACTATGTGTATTTTATTTTACAATAGTAACAAGTAAAATTTGAAGCAAGTACTACTGCATAACAAATTTGTTTAACCATTGGGCTTATACTTTCTTTAATATGAATTTTATGTGAGTGACCATCATGTTTTTTGCAGTTGATGAAGATCTGTATTATTTGTAGGAGTTGACAATGTTTCAAGGAGGAAAGAACAATACAGCTACAATATATGGTACCAAAGGAACAGTAGAGGTTAGAGCTTTACATTTTTATTCGCGAGAACATTTTCACAATTACGAGTGGTGGCAGAGAATTCCTAAAAATTATATAGAGCAATGACCACAATTCGTAAAAATTTTGTCTCGCTTATAAAGAGTCAATGACTATCTAGCGAAAATAAGGTGTCGCGAAAATTAAGTGATCTACAGTATTGTCCTTGTATATAACAACATGTACATGTACATGTGTAGTACAATATATGGTACCAAAGGAACAATAGAGGTTAGAGCTTGTATTGTCCATGTATATAACAACAAGTGCATGTACAAGTGTTGTAATTTCAAAATATAAAAATATGGAGATATCTCTGGAAAAGTTTGAGTAATTTGAATGTGTACATGTGTATCATGATATTTTACAAAATTTGTCTATACTGGTAAACAAAAAATTCAAAAATTTCTAAAAGACATTGAACAACCAAGCCTGATTTTTTTTTAAAACATCAGATACCAGAAAACTTGAAAATTTGACTGTTCTGTTGTGTCATTTTAAAATTTTTGTTTTTATATCCCCATGCAAAAAAGAAGTTTGTAAATATCTATAGGTGACACACCTTGTCCGTCTGTCTGTGCAAACGTGTCCGGTCCATATCTTTCTTACTGAGGAATATTAGAATCTACTACTCCACACAAAGATTGCCAATGACCTTACTGTGTCATGACCTTGACCCAAGGTCATTTGGGGACACTTCCTCACTGGAAGAAAAATTTCATAATTCGTGTCTGGTCCATATCTTTCTTACAGATAATCTTGGTAGTTTTTCATTTCACACAAAGATTGCCCATGACCCAGGGGTGTGTCATGAACTTGACCCAAGGTCATTATGGAAGTTGAATGTCACTGGAAGAAAAATTTCATAATTCGTGTCCGGTCCATATCTTTCTTATGGATAAACTTGGTAGGTTCTCATTTCACACAAATATTGTCCATGACCCAAGGGTGTGTCATGACCTTGACCCAAGGTCATTTGGGGAACTTCAAGGTCACTGGAAGAAAAATTTCATAATTCGTGTCTGGTCCATATCTTTCATATAAGATAAACTTGGTAGGTTCTCATTTCACACAAAGATTGCCCATGACCCTAGGGTGTATCATGACCTTGACCCAAGGTCATTTGGGGAAGTTCAAGGTCACGAAGAAAAATTTCATAATTTATGTAAAGATACATATCTTTATTATGGAAAAACTTACTTCTGAAAAACCCAGCGGGGGGTATTTTGTCCCGTTTGGACAGTTCTAGTTATTTTAAACATGTAAAAAAGAAAGATTGTATATATCTACTTGGTGACACAATTTCCATATCTAATTTTTTCCCTAGATTGGTGAAAGTTTCTGGACCCCCCTGGAGGCCACTTTTCCCTCCGGTAAAATGACCCTTGAGCCTCTCACTGGACCAGTGCCATACAACTTCATCAACAGTGGGGGACTGAGATACGAGGCCGACTGCTTCAAAGAATGTCTCGAAGCAGGTAGGCTACTGAGCACATGTCCTCACTGAAACAGTTACATTCATGCAGTTTAACATATGTAGCTTCTTAGGTTTAAGGGGACCAAAAAAAAATGTTCAATTTCATTGTCCATCACCCCCTTTTACCCCTGAGTCCTTCCATCAAATCATGCAATTTAAATAAAAATCATTTTATTGTCTTAAACATCAAACCAACATGTAGCCAAAAAATTGTTTGATGGATTATAATGAGCAATTAGCCCTTTACCAAAATTGTGAAACTCATGATCGTATAGGCTTCAGGATGGAGTTAATTAAGTTGATCATATATTTGAAAGTTTTTGACATTTATAAATATTAGAATATTTATTCCTTTATTTTAATTGTGAAATGTATAGCTCCTGGGTTCAGGCAGAAGATTGGATCTTTGTCAAACATTTATTAAAATTCATATCATTTGGGGGGGGGGGGGCATTACATATATATTTTTTAAATCCAAAAAATGTAATAACAGTTTTATTGTCATTCCAAGACTTATATATATTTTCACTATAGGGGAGTTAGAATGCAGGGAAGTGTCATTCACAGACAGCCAAGCCATTTACCAAATTATTGATGAAATTGTGAAGCAGACTGGAATGAAAGTGAATTGGTAAGTGTAATTTCTCTCAGTTTGAATATTTTAAAAAGTTTTGAATGATTGAAAACAATATACATTGTTTTTGAAAGGCTTAAATAAATATTTTTGATGGACAATCCACATTTTCCATAATTTAGATCTCACTCTTTTTTTAAAAAAACATTTTTTGTTACAGGTAATTCCAGTAGTGCATCAATGGAAGTATTCCAATTAAAGATGTGATAAATAAAATCTTAATGAAATAAGATCGTGTGGGACTTACAGCTTTAATTAGTGTTAGATTGGTGCTTATGAACTCAATACCGTACTTACAAAGTATTAGAAAGGTGCTTATTTACAATCATTTTTAATTACATATACTAATAATATATATGATGATGAATGTAAAAAAAAATATTTACATTATTATTTTTTATTTGCATTTATACAATTTTTTATAAACATTACATTGTTGATGTAAACATTACATTTTTGACGTAATACTTTATTTTATTAAGTATTTTCTATTTGAAACCTCAGGTAAAATGTCCAACTTTCATAAAAGTGAATACTGTGTACAGGGAAATTTTCGCCCCCCGTTTTATTTTTACCCCTTTCGCCTTTGTTGGAAGTGGGTGAATTTAAAACAGGACGAATTCAAAGTGAATAGTGTAATATCTTAAACGAAAATCTTTCTGGGTGAATTTAAAATGGGGGCAAACTTGTTTCCAAATGTGAAAGGGCAAAAATAACACGGGGCGAAAATAACCGTGTACAGAAAGTCTTAAGTATTTTCAAGTTCAATGTTTTAGACCTTGGAAAGGTCTGCTAAGGTTACTGATAGATTTTTGAATATCTCTTGTAAGTAAAAAAAAAATAATTTTAATAATAAATTTTCAAAATTCTGCTCCAATTTGTTTTTCTCAAGAAAAAAGAATGACAGTATGTATTTTGATTTTTAAATTTTATTACAATAACTTATAAGCATCACAAAATGATACAGATGAAAAATGTTTCACTGATGTCAAAAATTAAAGTTGTAGAATAGGAAAACTTTATTAGATGGTGTTTGAGGCAATTCTCTAAATAAAAAAAAAATTGTAATAATACACAAAATAATTGTATTCATGCAATCTGAATATTCTGATCAAGATTTTTAAAATGTTTGTTAGACATTTATAAATTATTCCGTTTATTTTACATGATTATTGTGTATCAGTTGTGATCATTGATTTGAATAAAATTCACTTTGATTGCCCTTTTCTTAGAAATTTGCTTGTTTTTACTCTCACCTCACCAGAAAAAAATATTTGTATATCCAGAATCTTACCTCCTAGTCAATGTCAGTTTTTAGAAGAATTTGCAATGTTTTGAATTTAGGCCATTCCAAGTTTTTTCTCTGTTTAGTGTCCATCCATCTTTCAAAAACCTACCTACCTATTTGCAAAAAACACACAAGCCAAAACATAAAACACAAGCTTAAAAGTCATAAAAATGACACCCTTCAAATGATTTGATCTAACTAAACTGCTTTAATAGAAGAAATATCTATTCTTAAGCAAAAACAAGGGATTAAATGCTTAAAATATACCCAATATAACATACTGCAAAGATTATTTGGAGAAATTGACAAAATTCAAAAGTTTCGACTAAATTAATCAATTTCAGGACTCCTGATGTTGTGTGTTTTTTTCTTATATTGGGTGTCAAAAACCAAGGCGCACGCGGACGCTAAACATAGAAAAAACTTGGAATGGCCTTATCGTACCAATGCCCAGCACCAGAGCAAAATTGAATGTCATGACTTGTCTCAATGAATAAACCTGTGAAATATGAAAGCTCAACCACAAAAAGTACAAATTTATGACCAAGGTTAAAGTTATTAAAATGTGGGTCATATTCCAAGGTCAAAGGATCAAAATAAAGGTTCCCAGAGGAAGGCCCTTGTCGTCAAAATACATATGAAATATTAAAGCCCTAGCACCAACTCTTCAAAATTTATAGCCAAGGGTAAAGTTAGGTAAATTGTTTCAAAGTTATGTCAAACTCCAAGGTCAAGAAATCAAATATGTTGTTACCCAAAGAAAAGTCTTGTCACAAGAAATAAACATGTGAAAGTCGTAGTTACAGCTTATTAAATGTTATGGGCAATGTTTAAGGATTTGAGGACAAACAGATGGACAGGGTAAAAACTATAAAGGCTAACACCTGAATCCTTGATTACCGGGCATAAAAATTGATACGACTTGAATAATATATTCCCAAAGTATATAGAAACCATATGTTCTCTCTTGTTTTCAAATATATACATGTATGCACAATCCACAGTTTTCATGATTTAGATCTCACCATTTCCTAAAGCACATTTTGTTACAGGTAATTCCGGTGTCATATAATATATTGAACCCCGCGATATTTTGAACCCGGGTTCAAAATATCGCTGCGAAATATTGAACCCCCTATAAAATATTGAACCCGGGGTTCAAAATATTATGGCCATAAAATATTGAGTCCCCCTGTCCTTTTAATTGATGAGGGAGGAGGTTCAAAATATTATGGCCATAAAATATTGAACCCCCTGCCCATTTAATTTTACAGGGAGGGGGTTCAAAATATTATGGCCATAAAATATCGAGTCCCCCTGCCCTTTTAATTGATGAGGGAGGGGGTTCAAAATATTATGGCCATAAAATATTGAGTCCCCCTGCCCATTTAATTTTACAGGGAGGGGGTTCAAAATATTATGGCCATAAAATATTGAACCCCCCTGCCCATTTAATTTTACAGGGAGGGGGTTCAAAATATTATGGCCATAAAATATCGAGTCCCCCTGCCCTTTAAATCTAAGAGGGAGGGAGTTCAAAATATTATGGCCATAAAATATCGAGTCCCCCAGCCCTTTTAATTGATGAGGGAGGGGGTTCAAAATATTATGGCCATAAAATATCGAGTCCCCCTGCCTTTTAAATCTAAGAGGGAGGGGGTTCAAAATATTATGGCCATAAAATATTGAACCCCCCTGCCCATTTAATTTTACAGGGAGGGGGTTCAAAATATTATGGCCATAAAATATCGAGTCCCCCTGCCCTTTAAATCTAAGAGGGAGGGGGTTCAAAATATTATGGCCATAAAATATCGAGTCCCCCTGCCCTTTAAATTTAAGAGGGAGGGGGGTCAAAATATTATGGCCATAAAATATCGAGTCCCCCTGCCCATTTAATTTTACAGGGAGGGGGTTCAAAATATTATGGCCATAAAATATTGAACCCCCTGCCCATTTAATTTTACAGGGAGGGGGTTCAAAATATTATGGCCATAAAATATCGAGTCCCCCTGCCCTTTAAATCTAAGAGGGAGGGGGTTCAAAATATTATGGCCATAAAATATCGAGTCTCCCTGCCCTTTTAATTGATGAGGGAGGGGGTTCAAAATATTATGGCCATAAAATATTGAGTCCCCCTGCCCATTTAATTTTACAGGGAGGGGGTTCAAAATATTATGGCCATAAAATATTGAGTCCCCCTGCTTATTTAATTTTACAGGGAGGGGGGTTCAAAATATTATGGCCATAAAATATCGAGTCCCCCTGCTTATTTAATTTTTCAGGGAGGGGGGTTCAAAATATTATGGCCATAAAATATAGAGTCCCCTGTCAATTAATATTTACAAGGAGAGGGGTTCAAAATATTATGGCCATAAAATATCGAGTCCCCCTGCCTTTTAAATCTAAGAGGGAGGGGGTTCAAAATATTATGGCCATAAAATATTGAACCTCCCTGCCCATTTAATTTTACAGGGAGAGGGTTCAAAATATTATGGCCATAAAATATCGAGTCCCCCTGCCCTTTAAATCTAAGAGGGAGGGGGTTCAAAATATTATGGCCAAAAAATATCGAGTCCCCCTGCCCTTTAAATTTAAGAGGGAGGGGGGTCAAAATATTATGGCCATAAAATATCGAGTCCCCCTGCCCATTTAATTTTACAGGGAGGGGGTTCAAAATATTATGGCCATAAAATATCGAGTCCCCCTGCCCATTTAATTTTACAGGGAGGGGGGTCAAAATATTATGGCCATAAAATATCGAGTCCCCCTGCCCTAAGAGGGAGGGGGGTCAAAATATTATGGCCATAAAATATTGAGTCCACTTGCTGTTTTAATGCATGAGGGAGGGGGTTCAAAATATTATGGCCATAAAATATCGAGTCCCCTACCCATTTAAATTTACAGGGAGGGGGGTTCCAAATATTATGGCCATAAAATAATGAGTCCCCCTGCCCATTTAATTTTACAGGGAGGGGGTTCCAAATATTATGGCCATAAAATATCGAGTCCCCCATCTATTTAATTTTACAGGGGTGGGGGCTCAAAATATTATGGCTCATATATTATTCAGTCACCCTATTGAACTGTTTTGAAAAGGGAGTGAGGATAAAATATGCCTGCAAATAATCTAAAATCCTTCTCCCACTTACACACTTCCACTACTTGAGAGTGAGGTATCTTTATTATAAAACTTTTTTTTCACATACATGCAATTCTTAAAGAATTGAGGGTAGGATAATATAATCATAATATTGAAGTGTACAATTGTTACAAAGGAAATAATTTTTTTTTTTACTATTAAACCCACAATATTCTACATCAAATAATAATTATACACATGTATCATGATGAATCTCATAAGGTATTTATTCATTTTTTTTAAATTGTATATACATGTAATTAACAATTTGATAAAGGAAATTTTAAGGAACAATGCTATTTAATAAGAAAGGTATCTCTCCATTGAGGAGGTAACGGGGGTATAGCACCTGTGTATTGTGTGTACACAGGGAGGTGTCATAGGAGGTCAACAATCCCCACTGTCTTGTTGCTTCCCCTTTGTGGTTTCTATATTATGCAATACAGTGTTTTGAGAGTGCACTGATAGGGTAGCCCAGATTGAGGGGTGGTTAACTTACATACAACATTCAGGTGTTTAAATAGAGTTAATTAAAGCAATAGTAATCATTACAACGTCATCCTCAAGAAGAGATGGAGGTCTCCGAGTATACAGAGCTGGTGAACTTCCTTGGCAGTCCACCTGCGCACTTGTCAGCAGAAGTCTACAAAAGAATCCCCCTTCTACCTAATCTATGGGAGAAAAGCAGTCCTACCAATTCAATTAGACATTCCAACAACAGTACCCAATATGCAGAGACAGCAAACAGATGAAGAGTTTGATGAAATCTACAGTGACAGGATAACTTCATTTGTTGAACTCTTAAAGGCCCATGATGCAGCTAAAGACAACATCAGCGATGAACAGAAGAAACAGAAGACATACTATGATAGAAAACATGGAACAGCTGATCTTCTTCAACCTGGCCAGAGAGTATTTCTAAGGAACTCTAAAAGGATCAATCGGAAGGGAGACAAAATGCTAAACAGGTGGACTGGTCCTTATACTTTTTCTACATGCATTGGAAAAGGGGTGTACAAGCTGGTGGGAAGAAAGGAAATAGCCAACATCAAAAGAATGAAGTTATACAGAGAGAATTCTACTGTTACAACAGAAAAACAGACATCTCAGCCTGGAAGAAAATCCAAGCAGATTGCCACATCCAAGTCATGAGTTAGTGGTCTCCAAAGATGCCGAAGGAGAAGAAGGGTACAGAAGCCAGTATTTAAGCCTACATGTCCAACAGATGTGATAAGGAGAAGAAGCAGCAGAAGCAGTACTGTATCCCAACCAAAGACCAAGTTTACTGCACCTACTGCAGAGGACAAAGAAGTGTGTACTTCAATTTCAACGAATAACAAAAGGAAGATAAAAGGAAGGTCCAATGAATCAAAGCTGAAACTCATCAAAAGGGACGTTCTTGCCATGTACATCCTAACAGAAGACTAAGGACATCTGAGGTTTCCAGCTCACCCAAATTTCCCAAGTCATCTAGAACAACCCAGCAGAAAAGGAGAGGACCTCCCACAGACGAAAACCCATCCAAGCGTGTGAAGGGAATGGAGAAAACAAAGCTACAAGCATCACAGAATGTGTACCTTAGGACCTACTCATCAGAAGATATCATATCAATCGTCAGACATTGTGCGAAGTACAGCCTTGCTGATACTGCATCTAGATCACCACCTGTTTCTTTGTATCTTGCGTGCCAAAGAGAGGGAAAAGATGACTTAAATCAGTGTGTGAACGATCTCATGGAAGTGGTTTCTGGAGCACTCAGTCTGGACCCAACTCTTCAAGAATCCCCTGAGACTGCC